TATGTACTCAACATACATGTTTATTTCCATCAAATGACTGTATAGCAATATTCAAAGCAGATTTATTCATAATAGCAAAAACTGGGAAAAGATATCCATCAGCAAATAAATATGTAAATTGTGGTATATTTATACAATAGCATACTAATCAGCAATACAAAAAATGAACTACAGAAACATGCAGCATCATGGTTGAATCTTGGTGTGACAACTGTGTTCTGCTGAGATCAGGCTCTCTGTATTATGATCAGGAAATTGTTCTGTGCAGTGAGCTAGGTAATTGTGGAGCTTACCTCTAGTTGCCCTTCTCTTAGGGATCTTCAATCTTGTGCTGCCTATTGTCCACTGCCTGAAAGCAACTGCTCATATAGTTTGGTCTGGTTTTACAGTTACACCAAGACCAGTCAATTACCAATTCCTCCATCATGGCTAGAGGTCCTGTGTCATTATTAAGAAATAATATGTATTGCACTTAGGAAAACTCAATGAAGGGATAGAGAGAGGAAAATAATATGTAATTGCAAGAGCCTTTACTCATACTGGAAATGAAGACACAGAATATTTAGGTGTAAGGAAGCTTAGTAAATTTTTGATATGATATGACTGAGATGCTGTAATTGATATGACATGATATGACTGAGACACTGTAACAGTTAAAGGCTAGTTTGCTATAACAGAGAGACCTGAAAATGCAATGATCTAAATATTAAGTGTACTTGTTTGTGGAATGGTCTAGTAATCTCCATAGTCAGGGAGCTCTGCTCTGTGAGGTCATGCAGGGACCCAGGCTGGTGAGGTAGCTCTGTGCACTGGTCACACCTGACTTTCAAGCCATCACCATATCTGGCAAACTGATGTAGGGGAGAAAGTTAGTTATACTACACATACCCAATATTTTAAGTCAAGATCCAGAAGTGGCATGCATCGCTTTTGCTTACATTGCATTGATAGGAATTACCCATGTCGGTCACACCTAACTACAATGGGAGCTAAGAAATACTGATAGCTGGATATCTGTTCAGCTAGAATTCTAGTATAATGGAGAATGGGAGAATAGATTGGTGGCAGGGTGTGAAGAGGTCAACAGTCAACAAATGTGCCATGGATGCTTGTGGGTTCCCCAAGTGAACTGCTCATAAGATAGCTCTGTATGGAGATCTGGTATTGAATAGTGTTCTGGACTAGAGACATAAACTCAGAAACCATCAGTATATAAGTGGGAGTCAAGGACATGAGTATTGATCCAATCACCCAAATGAATTAAGAACTGGAACAGAGCCCTGGGAGAATAACTCTGAAGGAGGTAGGGAAGAAGGAAATCCCAGGAAGGAAATTACAAAGGATCAAAGAAGTGCAAGAAAAACCAGATAGAGGAGGACCAGAGAAGGCTAAGCAAAAGGAATTTCAAAAAGGGAGTGACCAACAGAGTCACTGTATGCACAGAACTCAGGTAATATAACTACAGAAATGCATTCACTGGGTTTTATTATTAGTTCAACTTCAATAAATACATGAAGGATAAACAAATGAACATTGAAGGAGGTAATAAAGGGCTAAAGCATTAATAATGGAAATAAAAGGACAGGTTAAGGCAGTAGAAAGTATGATTTTTAGTAGGCATATAGCTGAAAAATGATTGGCTGTAAGTTGATGATGATTGAAATTGGGTACATGGGATTTTATTATATTAATCTCTTTACTTTTGTGTATAGCTAAAACTTTCTAAGGGAAAAAATGTTTTAAAAAAAATCCATCCTGCCCCCTAAAGAGAGAGCTACAGACAGGGAGAAAATGTGTAATATGTATATTTGACAGAGGACTTACATACAGAATATATAAAGAACTCCTATAATTCAATAAGATAGTAACTCAATAGAAAAATGGGGAAAAGATTTTTTTGTGAAGAAGTACTTCACAAAAGAGGTAATTCAAATGACCAATAAACATGTGACAAGGTGTCAAGTGTCAGCTGTCATTGGAGAAATGCAAACAAAACCCACAAATTATAAGCATAATTATAAGAATAAAAAAAATTGTAACGTCAAATTTTAGCAAGAGTGTGGAACAACCGTAAGTCTCATACACTGCTGGGGAGGGTGTAAATTGGTAGAACCACTTTAGAAAACTGTCAGTGTTTATCAAAACTTAACTGAAGCATACTCAATAACCCAGAAATTTCACCCTCAACAGAAATGTGACCCAAGTCACATAAAACGATGTTCATAGCAGCACTATTTGTACTTGTAAAAGACTGGAAATAAGCTAAATGTCCACCATAATAGAATGGATAAATTGTTGCATGTTCATTAATACTGTGCAGTAATGATGATGAACAAATGTCTGCTCCATACAATAGAGATGAACCTCATGAGCATATAAATGAGAGATCTAACCCTAACCACACAAAATACCACACACTATATGGTTCTATTTACATAACATTCAAAAAGAATCAAAACTAATCTATGGTTTTGGAAGTTATCACATAGATTAATTTTGGGGAGGATGGTGGAAGTAATGACTAAGAAGGAAGCAGGGGAGGTTTCTGGGATGTGGCAATTGCTCAGTTTCTTAATCTGGGTGATGGGTTACATGAGTGTGTTGAGTTTGTAATAAATTAATAATCTTCACATTTAATATTTACATACTCTTATGGAGATATATTCGGGCTTACCCAGGTGTCTCAGTGTTAAAAGAATCTGTCTGCCAATGCAAGAGACATGGGTTCGATCCCTGGGTAGGGAAGATCTCCTGAAGAAGGAAATGGCAATGCACTCCGGTTTTCTTACCTAGGAAATCCATGGATAGAGGAGCCTGGGGGGCTACAGTTCATGGGGTTGCAAAGAGTCAAACACAACTGAGCATGCATGCACGCATGGAGATACATTGCCCTTCAGTAAAAACTTTAACTAAAGGGGAAAAAAAGAACATATTTTCCCTGTCAAAGTCGTTCAGTCATGTCTGACTCTGCGACCCCATGGACTACACAGTCCATGTAATTCTCCAGGCAGTGCTGGAGTGGGTAGCCTTTCCCTTTGGAAAACGGTAAAAGAAAGTACTGCTCATTTAATGTTCCATCCTTTTCTTGTCCTTTATGAGTGTGATCAGTTAGTCATGTCCGACTCTGTGACCCCATGGACTATAGCCCACCAGTCTCCTCTGTCTATGAAATTTTCCAAGCAAGAATACTGGAGTGCGTTGCCAGTTCCTACTCTAGGGGTTCTTCCTGACCCATACATTGAAACTGCGTCTCTTGCATCTCCTGCATTTGCAGGCAAATTCCTTACCACTGAGCCAACTGGGAAGCCCTACCTCTCCTGTCCTACTCCTCCACTTTTTTTTTTAAAAGCTGATTAATACATGTTCAGTTCAGTTCAGTTCAGTCGCTCAGTTGTGTCCAACTCTTTGTGACCCCGTAAATCTCAGCACACCAGGCCTCCCTGTCCATCACCAACTCCTGGAGTTTACTCAAACTCATGTCCATCGAGTCAGTGATGCCATCCACCCATCTCATCCTCTGTCGTCCCCTTCTCCTCCTGCCGCCAATCCCTCCCAGCATCAGGGTCTTTTCCAATGAGTCAACTCTTAGCATGAGGTGACCAAAGTATTGGAGTTTCCGCTTCAGCATCAGTCCTTCCAATGAACACCCAGGACTGATCTCCTTTAGGATGGACTGGTTGGACCTCCTTGTGGTCCAAGGGACTCTCTGGTTGGATCTCCTTGTGTTCCAAGGGACTCTCAAGAGTCTTCTCCAACACCACAGTTCAAAAGCATCAATTCTTCAGCGCTCAGCTTTCTTCACAGTCTAACTCTCACATCTATACATGACCACTGGAAAAACCATAGCATTGACTAGACGGACCTTTGTTGGCAAAGTAATGTCTCTGCTTTTTTAATATGCTGTCTAGGTTGGTCATAAATTTCCTTCCAAGGAGTAAGCGTCTTTTAATTTCATGACTGCAATCACCATCTGCAGTGATTTTGGAGCCCAAAAAATACAGTGTGTACTGTTTCCACTGTTTCTCCATCTATTTTCCATGAAGTGATGGGACCAGATGCCATGATCTTAGTTTTCTGAATGTTGAGCTTTAAGCCAACTTTTTCACTCTCCTCTTTCACTTTCATCAAAAGGCTTTTTAGTTCCTCTTCACTTTCTGCCATAAGGGTGGTGTCATCTGCATATCTGAGATTATTGATATTTCTCCTGGCAATCTTGATTCCAGCTTGTGCTTCTTCCAGCCCATTGTTTCTCATGATGTACTCTGAATATAAGTTAAATAAGTAGGGTGACAATATACATGTTACAAGGCATCAAAAACCTTTTCCATTTCTCACCTGTGGTTCACCCTACAAGATTATTTCAGGAAACACTGGTACTGCACTCAGGCTATGGCATAATTCTCAGATAAATAAGCAACTTACAATTAACACATTCTCCTAGACTAATAAGTCTAAGCTGTTTGAACAAACTCAAGGTCTCTGATTACCAGATTCTAAATAAAACACATTTGTTCCCAAATGGGTTAGATACTTTCCTCCTTAAAGGAATGCAACTGAATGAATTATTATAGCCTTATTTTAGCCCTTAGAAAATTTGAAATTGTAAAAGATCCTTTCTCTGATTTCTGTATAGCCCAGTCTGGTACATATTATACCATAAACTGTCTTCTGCTGTGGTGATATCACCTCTCATCCTTTCCACAGCCCTGAAAATACAGCAGGGTCTGTAAGTCTGTCCTCCATCACTCCATACATTAGAAAGTATGTTTGGCTGAAGCAGGAGAAAGATGCTCTCATATCTCCTGATTGCTGTTTTGGAGATACTGGGGGATGATGGAATGAGTTTGGTGCTAAATTCTTGAGGATGGTCTTTAATAGTTCACAGGTTTCTCTCTGAATAAAAATTCTGGTTAAATAGATGCCATTTTGATGAATAAATGTAAGTAGCATAACATATTTCAGAGCAAGTTGGTTATATCAGAACTAGTTCTTGTCAACAGATGAACTCCTGACTCATCTTCCTTCCCAAAGATGGTGACATGGGAAGCGTCCAGCCACCTGTCCAGATCTGGGTCTCCAGCACCTGCTGTCGCTCTACTGCCAGTTAACTGCATGTTCTTCTGTGGATCCTGGCAGGAGAACTGTTTGAAGATTCTTGCAAATGTAGCAAATCTTTTGTTAAATGATGAGTGTGTCAGTTCATTTATAACAGAGACATCAACAATCTAAATCAAGGCATAACATTGGACAAAGGGGCCTTCTCATTTGTTTCTGCCACTCGGATTCTATTATTTTCAACAATAAAACTAAGAATGCTCTTTTTTTCCCTCATAAAACACCCCACCAAGTGCTATTTAAGCAAAACGTTATATATTAAGATTGGTTACAGTCCACCATGCTCAATGCTAACAAATAATTTGAATAATACTGTTTAAAAAGCCCAAGATATTCCTGTGCTTGGCATTTTAGGGGATGCTTCCTATCCGAGCCTCTGGCAACAAAGCTGGGAGTCAGCTCAGAGGCATTTTGTTCCAGAAACCTATTGTTTTAGCCACTTGGCTCAGGAAATTAGTAAAACTAAATGGGGAGCATTTAAACAATATAACAAAAGTGGCCCTGAAAATATCAGAGTTCTAACTTCCCTTTTGCTGCATCTGAAATGCTACTACTCTTGTCTTTGTGAAAGGACCTCCTCAAACTCCAGATTGTTACCCAGGCGGAAACATGTCACCAGATCCTTTATTAACAAATAGATGATGTTCTCAAAGTCCATTCCCAAATGAAAAAAAGTTTGTAGAATTTTACTAAGAGTAACAACACTGACTAAACATACTAGACAGGTGGTGAAAAGTTTAGTAAAGGGCAAAATTAGAGAAGATTTATAAAATGCAAGTGAATATTCTTTATTGAATATCTACTCTGGGTCTAACATGTTAAGGATATAACAGTAGATTATAGCATTACTTCTGCCTTCAGGGAACTTATCATTTTTAAAGAAAGAAAAGATTTACACAAGAAATAATTAGAGAAGATAAGAAAAAACTCGTGAGAACACAATTGTGCATCCCACTATTACAGTTAACCAGAGTTCAGGAGTTATAAAGCCTACATACTTGGAATTGTTAGTTAAATTCACTAGGTCGCTCTAAGAATTCAAACTTAAAAAGAAAAGCAAAAATCAGTTAAAGTTCAGAGTCTGTCAATCTTGAATATCTCCTTCAATTCTCTACCTCCAGGAAAACCTGACAAAAGCATTGTTTGCTATGCTTCACAATTAAAGGATGAATCAAGCTTCCTTGGTGGCTCGGAGGTAAAGAATCCACCTGCTAATGCAGGAGACACAGGAGACCTGGGTTCAGACCCTGGGTCAGGAAGATACCCTGGAGAAGGAAATGGCAATCTACCCCAGTATTCTTGCCAGGAAATCCCATAGACAGAGGAGCCTGGTGGGCTACAGTCGATAGGTTTGCAGAGTAGGACATGACTGAAGTGACTTAGCAAGTACATATACAACCTTCTCTGAAGACCTGAACCTCTATCGACTATTTACTCCTTGACCTTACTGTAATACTTTTATAGCATGTCTAGCATTCAAAGGTATTACCTCCACTTTATGCCAAGCATGTTGATATATTTAATGAATTTAATGAATAGAGCACAGTTCCTACCTTAAAGGAGTTCACCTGAAAAAGACATGTGCATAGTTTTAATACAATGCAACTAACTAGGACAGGCATATACCAGCTATCTCTGGTATAAGAAGGGCAGGACTTCCCTGGTGGTCCAGTGGTTAAGACTCTGCACTCCCAATGCAGGATGTGTGAGTCCAGTCCCTGGTCGGGGAACAAACATCCCACATGCCAAATGGTGAGGCCTTAAAAAAAAAAAAAAAAAAGGGGGCACATATGAGGAAAGGGCAAGGAGAAATGGGGTTGCTCCATTATTTGAAACAGTAAGTGTGGTCACTTGAGTAGGTTGACTGCCACCAGAGCTTTCACTGTAAACATATCTGTATCTCCTCATAAGCCTGGAAGGGAAAGAAAAGATGGGTAGGACATGTAGCATTTCTGGAGGAAGTGGGATCTAGCCAGATAAAGCCTAGAAGAGGAGTGAGAACATGTGAGAGGGGACAGACGAGCACCAAGCTGAGAACAAGTAGAACATGACCCTGAAGAGGCAGGCGGTATAATCACGATGTGTGTAAGTTAGGCCAGGGCCTTGTAAGCCAGTGGTAAGGAGATTGGTTTATCTTCTAGGCTAATACTACTCAATATATTGCAAAGATTACAACTTGCTGGAGATTTAGGTGATAGCATTTTTTAAGCAATAAAGTACTTTTTAAAACAAGGTATGTACATTGTTTCTTAGATGTGCTATTGCATATTTAATAGACTTCAGTAGTGTAAACATAACTGTTTTAAAACATAACTTTTATATGCACCGGGAAACCAAGTAATTCCTATGACTGGCTTTACTGCCACACTTCACTTGCAGTGAACTGGTACCAAACTTGCAATATTTCCAAGGTATGCCTGTAGTCTCCAAAAGTGTGGTGTGCCCTGGGATGCTGGAGGAGACATTTCAATTATCTTTTAAACTATCTATGGTAGTGGTGGTGATTTAGTTGCCAAATCATATCTGACTTGTGACCCCATGGAATGTAGCCCACCAGGTTCCCCTATCCATGAGGTTTTCCAGGCAAGAATACTGGAGTGGGTTGCCATTTCCTTTTCCATAAAATACACTTCATAATGGACAATATTATATCTAAGAATTGAAATCAGGACCATAAGAGGAAGACTAGGGGATACGGAGAGAGAAGCAAGAGCTGCTTTGAGACTCACTAACTACTTAAGAGCACTTAGAAGGAGCTGTTAAGCAGACAGCTATACATGAAACTGAAGATCTGGGGAGGGGTCTGTGCCTGAACATGGTGATTTGGGACATCTGCTGAAAACACCAGAGAGAAAAGAACAGTGAACCAACGGCAGAACTCTAGGAAACATTTATAGTAACATTTGCTTTTCCAAAAGGAAAATAAGAGTACAAGGAGCAGTGCTTATACTCTTTATTTAAAAATTTTAAAAAGCTTCTGAATATTAATACAAAGTTAGTAACCGCTATTCCTTACTATTCCCATTCCTGTATGAAAATGAGGCTCAGTGCACCATGAAGGAAAAAAATGTTTCTGCTAGCAACTCAGCAGCAATTCAGAAAGAGAAAATTTAATTTTCTTACCATTTTGAGGGACAGAAGGTAAAGGATATTAAAAAGTCCCCCATGAAATTTGGATGCTTTGAAGAAATGACGTATTACAGGGTTGGGCCAGGGAAAATACAAAGTGAGTCTGGAATATCTTGTGTCAAAAAGCAATGAAGTGTTTCAAGATTGAAAGGGATGTCAACAGGACATAAGAACGAGCTTAGAGGGGCTCCCGCTTACCAAATTTGGAATGATTTGTGCATCAAAAAGAATAATGAATTTTAACATGCTGAATATAAAAAGAATCTTGATCTACAGTGACATTTCAAAGTATGAGATGAAAAAATGGAAAGCTCCTCTATACACACAAAAAAATGCCACTATTAAATGAAGAATGAAGGACGGAATTTAAAAATCTCCATATCACAACTCCTATTTAGTAACAGATTCAGGCTAACAATCATCAACAGATGTTAAAGCCATTAGGTTAAAGGTTGCTGAAGAACAGGATACTCACACGGCCTCACAGATTCCTTCTTAATTATCAAGTGGAAAATACCTTACATTGCAAAAATAAAGCAGATATTACCTGAGCAAATTCAGCATCATCAACAATGGGATGAACTGATATCATGCACTCCTGATGTTATACAAATGAGAAACAGAAACCACCTAGGCAAAGTTCTTTCATCTAAATCTAATTATGAAGAAACACTCAAGACAAATCCAGAAATGTGGAACACTCCATAAGACAACTAGCCTGTACTCTGCAAAAACGTCAGAAAAGACTTAAAAGGGGGGGGGGGGGCAGGGGGTAGGGCAGGGTGACTGCTCTAGAGAAATGAATGAAAGAAAAGAGACTAAACCCAATGCATAAACCCTGTCTGAATTCCCAATGAAAACAAAACAGAAACATATAAAGATACAGAATATTTTGGGAGCAACTGGGGAGTATGAATTGTGTATTAGATATTATTAAATCAACATTACATTTCCTGGGTGTGATGATGGTGTGGTGGACGTGTAAAAAATGTCTTTGTTCTTAGGAGACACATGATGATACATTTAATGGTATGGAAGCATCATGATAACTGAAATTTATTCTCAAAGGAATCAGGAAAAAAAAAAGAGAAAAGAAAAAAAAGATTATAGACATAGAGAGAGGAGACAAAGAAAATGTAATGAGAGAGGAGACAAAGAAAATGTAACAAGATGTAAACACCTGGTGAATGAAACAAATCAATGTTCACTGTACTATGTTTCCAACTTCTCTATAGTTAAAAATTTTTTTCAAAATAAAAAGTCAGGAAAAATATATCAACTAATCTATGTGTGGCTAGTATGCTATAGCTGATTTTGTTTACTTGAATATACTCGTAAATGATTTAATACTTTTAAAAACACCCACCATGAAATTTCTTCCCATCAAAGCTAACCAAGGAGGACTGGTTGGTGTCAGCAACATAATCTGTCTCCCCCACCACCCCACCTCCGCCACATGAATCAAGAATCGTATCTGACTCAACTGTGAAATTAGCAAACAAGCAAAACACTTAGAGCACTCAGCCACCTTATTAAAAACAATCTAACATTAGAAAAACTGTAATCTTCTGGTTTTAAAATAATTTATTTCATAGGTCTGTTTTAATTTCATGTCTCAGAGCATACATTATTTAACCAAGAGGTGCTGGACAGAAATTGTAAAAAGCAAGGAAACATGTAGGATAAGAAACTGCCTCAATTCCATTAGGATTTGATCCTACCTTGTAAAGTCTTGAGAAGATAAATTTCTATCATACTTCCTTTGTGCTTACAAAAGAACATTAACTTCTGAATTTCCAATGTTGTAAATAAAAATTTTTACAATTAAGTATGCATTCAAATTGACATACAAGGCAACCAAATAATTGTCATCAACATTAGCATAATGTGTATTTCCTGTCACTGCACTAACATTAAACTAAACGTCAAACCACAAAAACATTGTGACTAACATTAAAAAGGCAGGCTGTAAGATACGCAAAGCTTATAAAGGACAAATTGCACATGGTTAAGATGGGAAGTCATTTGACAAGGGCTGGTGTTGTGCATATGGCTGCTTTTTTTTATAAGAA